TGAACAAAGATATCAGTGAAATTGTTTACCTATGTTTAACTATATTTGATGCAAAGGATGTTTTTTTTGAATGCTCAAAGTTTAGAATTTTTATTAAAGTATGGAAAATTTTGTTATATGCACTTCAAAACTAAAGTTAAACTAAGCAAAAATTTTTTCCCAAAAGGAAGTACAAGTTAGCTTACAAGTTAAATGGTCTGACTTTACCATTGTACAACTTAAGCAGATGATTTTATGGTAAGTTGATAGAGAAAGTTCAAGCCAAATCGAAAATCCATCCGAGTTAATGGGATTTTACTGTAACACATTTTCTTTATACCTTTTATAAATCTTTTAAAAAATCATTTAGTTTTTAATTACGTAAATTTTTTAGTTTTCAATCCTTTAATGTTCTAGAATTAACACAACTGTCAGATATGTAACATCTGTCAGATATGTAACAACTGCCAATCAGAATGATGCATAATATAGTTTAAATTATATATTTAATTATATTTAATAATAAAATAATAATTACATATATTAGTTTTTTAATTGTTTTTAAATTTATTTTTCATTTTCTAGCTAATGTATTTTTAAAGAGTTCTTTGAAACTCTTTAAAAAAAACTGCTCATAGACAGTTGTAATACTTAAGTTATAACTAATTGTAATACCTAAGTTATAACTAACTTTTTTTTCTATATTTTTTTTCAAACATTGAGTATAAAGACATTTTTAAAAATAAAAGATGAATAATAAAAATTTAAAAAATAAAAAAAAAAACTATTTGAGTTCCTACTTAAATCTTAAAGATGTTTACTCTGATATGTACAGTTTTATAACTTATTTAAATAACAAAATTCTACTCGGTATGAAAACCACTATGATCTTTTAAATTTAGTTATTGATATTTTGAATTGAAACTACAATCAAATTAAATATCTTTGAATAACTTACAAAAACCTTACCTTCTTTATTTTCTTCTGTTCGTATATCTTCATATAAACTTCTTTTTTCAGATCTTCTTTCCAAGGTAAGATCATGAGAAAACTTACATTTATTTCCTTTTTGACATGTACCTTGTTTAAAATACATACACACTACTGACTTTGGATCAACACCTAAACAATAAGCAAGTCAATAATTCCAGTTCTCTAACATATACTTTATATTTAAATAAAAATTGTATATTACCAAATGCAACTTTTTGAACTTCTTGCACTGGCTTAAATAGTTCATTTAACTCATCTAGCTTCTTCTTTTCCAGTTCTTTTTTAGTCAACTAGAAAAATTGAAACTAAATTAACTAAATTTAAAACCACTATTTAAAAAATATTTGAATTTCTTTAAAAAAACGTTTTGTTAATAATAAAAAATAAGTCACTTTGTTTGCTTGTTCCCCGCCTCTCTCTGATGCTTTCTAAAAAATGAAATATAGATTAATTAGTAATATAAAAATATAAAGTTAATATAACATTTTTAACTTTTGTAGTTTTCGGTTTTTATAAGTATTTTTTTAATGATATTTAATTTTAACTAAAATTGCAAATGCAATTTTACTCTTATTTGAAATAACTACTTGTCTCTTTGCAAACAAACACCTGTTTGCAAACAGTAACATCTTTTATAAACACAACTTAATTGTAATGTAAAATTATAATGTAAATCTTTTTTGAAATAAATTTAAATGTAATGTAAAAAAATTATAAAATTATAAAAAATGAGATATGAAGCTCATTTTAAGTTATCATTAATGCGAAAAATATTAGAAAAAACAAAAAAACAAACAATGGCTTTGCTATTATTTAAAACAACTTAAAAAACAATGGCTTTGTGTTCTTGATATTGTTTAAATCAAAACACTATTCATGCACATTTTAGCTTAGCAAACTTTTCTATATGTTTTGGTGTTTCATCTCTAAATTTTAAGCCTTTTTATGAAATTTTAAAGTCAAGAATATTATTATTTTTAATTTTAAGCCTATTTATTAAATTTTAGGGTCATAAACATTTTTTGATACTTTTATTAAAACAAAAAGTTTTTATGTAAATTTAAGATTTTTGCTGCAAAAATAACAAGATCATAAATGAATCGGTAAATGTTAAAAGGTGGGAAGTCCAACAATGTAAACTTTCAGGAAACTAAAAAAAAACTGCACTACCCCCTTAGTAAATATTTTTTAATAGTTAAATAATTTTTTTTTTGAAGGGGATAATGTTTTTCACCTTAAATGCAAACATATTTTTCTAAAGAACATATAAACGCTGTAAACTTCAGCATAAACCAATTAACAATGTAGACTTCAACCTTTTTAACATTTAAAAAAATTCTCTGAATGTTAATTATTTTTATATTTTGAATTGGACTCTGATGAACTTCTACACCATGGAAGATGGGAAATTTTTTATTAAGGCAATCATTATTTGACATTCTGGATCACAAATGACAAAAAACAACAATTTGAATTAATAGATTGATTTTTTAAAGATCTAAGTTGCATATGAGTAAAAATATATGTAAAAATGTAATGTTAAAATATATGTAAAAATGAGCCAAGGGCAACAACAATTCATGCAATAAAGTAATGTGTTTTAATTTGGTTTGGTGCAAACAGGAGGTTGTGTTAAACCATGAAAAATGTTGGCAGCCCTTGCCCTACTAGAGATATTAGGCTTTTTGAATACTAAGCAGTGGATACTTGCTTGGTCTCAAAAAAAACCCTGATTGAATCAGAAAGACTTACACAGAACTGTTAGAAGCTTTGATATTATTTTGCTTTAAAGCTGATTTGTTTGTTTCTCTTACATTTGACTAATCAAAATAGTATAGCAGATGCAATAAGACAAACTTATTAACTGCGATCTGAGCATTTAAGAGTCGATTTCAGTTATAACATTTTTTGGGATGGCATAAACTATTTACTTACTGTAAATTACTTTTTAAACAGTATTCATTTGAGAAAATGCATTAAGTTTTAGTAGGGCATCAGCTCCAACTAATGCAATGACATCTGTCATGAAGTTGTACTTGCACTAGGTATAATCGAATGTTCAAAATACAAATAAAGTGCACAAAGTGTCTTTATGCTTGGTATGCACATACTATTCTAGAAAGTTTAAAACTTTTCTAGTTAGGATAAAATAGCCACAAAATCATACTGCATGATCATTTTTTAAAAGGTATTATAATCTTGCAAACTAAAAAAATAAAAAATTTAACAAACTAGTAATAATCTCTAGTTTTTATGTACTTTGCAAAAGTAAAACTTGTAACAAAACTTTATACTTGTACCTAATTTAAAAACCTAGCCATGCTTTAAACTGAAAAATCAGTAAAATTTGTAGATGATTCTAATATTTTTTAGACCACTGTATACTTGACAACTTGATTACAGTATGAAGTCCTTTTTAAAGAAACCAACAAGAAACAAGGGTTATCATAATAGATAATAATTTAAAAATGAATTTAAAAAGAAGTTATACAGATTGACTACAAAATTTCTGAAAAAACTATGAAGCTTTAAAGTTAAAAAAAATATGTTATATTTTTGAAAATGAAGATTAGTTTCAAAAAAACTTATTTTAGGATAATTTTCAAAAATGTTACAAAAATATCTTCAACATAAAAAATTGCACAATACATTGCATAAAATTCTTACAACATTAAAATTATTGCCTATTACAACTAATGAAGTATTATGCAGAACATCCAGCATCTATATAGTCTTGTGCATCTCCATGTCTTTAACAGATACATACCATGGATATCATACCAAAAAGAAACATTTTCTGTTCTTGCTTTTATTTTATTATTTTCAGTTCAGACATTTAAGTTTAATGCCTCTAAACTTCAAACCAATCTGAACTTAAAGGGATCACAAACCTCCGAGACATGTTTTGTTCATATTTATGAGAATGATAAACAAAATGTTTGGACTAAATTTTTTTTAATTAAAACAAAAGAATAAATGCATAACAAGGAAAACAAAATTTTTTATTTTAGTTAAAGATTGCCTTCTCTGTTTTGGTGTAGGAAAAAAAGTCAGCATAATATATGCCGCAATCTACAGATTTGATAATTTATTTGAACACTTTTTATTTCTAAGAGTTTCAGTACATGGCATTATTGATTTTTTTGTTTGAGTAAAAGATCGATTATATAAACAAACAAAAAAATTAATGACGCCATGCACTGAAACTCTTAGAAACTGTTGAAAAAAAAAAAAAAAAAAAAAAAAAAGCAACTTATATAGGAATAGGAAAACTATGATGCAAAAAATTTAAATTGTAAAACTTGTAAAACTTAGGTTGTTAAACTTAGAGAATAATCATTCTAGTGATATTCAATAAATGTACTATATTTTCAAAAAATCTGTTAACTAATCTGCTACTTAAGGAAGAGCATCGAGCTCCAAAGTATTATTTCAACTCATCCATAATGCCATAATTAAATAAATAAAAAAAGCATGAAAACAGGTTCAGGTTTTCTGAGAACCCCATTTATCTGGAAAAAGATAATCCCTAGTTTCTCTGATTTTCTAGAAAAAGCTAATGAAAAATGAATTGTGGAACATTGTAGAATAATAATGTATAAAAGATCTTCAAGTTGTGAACATAAACTCAAAAAACAAAAAAACAAAAGAACAGAATCAAAAGACAAAAAAAAAAAAAAAACAATATTAAATTTTAGATTCTGGAGTACCTTAAACTACAGTACTTCTGTAAATTTCAAGAAATATTGGATCACTGCAAACAGGATTTGGAAAATCATGGATAAACAAAACTATCTTTACCTCGCAATACTTCTCTTTTAATAAACAAAAGTCAAATTTTAACTTGTTCTTACTCAAATCCAATGGTTTAACTTGTTTATGGTGAATTTTAATAGTTTAACTTGTTCAAAATCGAATTTAATAGTTTAAAACAATTTATGCTACAGCAAACTTACATAGACTTCTTTTAGTGCATTTTATAAAAATTGTTGTACCTTCTGAAAGCAACTTAATAATCCAATGATTGCATAATGAACCTGCTTAACATGTACCACAGTTCTTTATCAGCATACTTGGCTTTTCACTGTCTCATTACCTTCAAGTTTGTTAAACTGCTTCCAATCTCAACCTCAACCAAAAAACATTCTTAACACAATATTGATACCCTGTTTGAATGCATAACAAAAAAATCAGCAAAAAAAATCAGCATGGTAAAGCAGAATATGAACTTTTCATACTGAACTCAGTAGATATTTTTTTATGTCAACTGAGTTCTGCCACAACAATCCGACTCATTTCATGTCAAGCACAAGTTCAAATGTTATTTATTACAAGTTAATTATAATCAATAGAACTTTGAAAATAAAAAATATCTCATGTTTTCATTTTCTAATGCAATTTTTATTGTGTGTGTTAACACACTCTTCCAGGGCTGCAGAGTCACTACAGTCGAGGATGCTACAACAGTGATAGCACTACAGTTAACAAGGTTATTTGTTAATTCTTTTAAGTTTTTGTTTAATTTTCAACTCACTCAACCGTAAACTTCAAAGTCTTCTTTTAACTAATGTAGAACACTATGAAAAGACTCGAAGTTAAACTACAAGTGTACAACATCCATCAGAGGTGCGATGAGCAACATTACAATAATAATTATAGTAGGATAGGGTATAATGAATATTTAACAAAAATTTCAATGTTTAAAAATAAACATTTTTTTAACAACTAAATAGTATTTTTTTTTTTGTTTTTTGTTTTGTTTACAGAATCACAGTTGGCCAAGAGACCGCCAGGTTTTATGTCGTGTCACTCATACAAATTTTTATTTATTTAAGAGTATTAGTAGTTTACTTATAAAAAAAAGGGTTTTTTAAAATCCGAATACAGTGCAAAGGATCAAAAAAGGGCAAGAAAAGAGCAATGCAAAAATTTCTAGCCTCACATTTTTATAAATGATTATGATAGCAAGTTTTATTCTGATTAAAAATTATATAGAAAAATACGCTTGAAATTTAATGAAAAGTTCTCTATTTTACATTAGTAACTAAAAATTTATATATTAAAATGATAAAATTCAACATCTTTTTGCAACTTAGGCAATTTAACGGAACTTCTTACAACATTTAAAATACCTGGTTTTTATTATTATCAATTTTAAATTAATGACTTACAAATTTATTAGAAAAATACTAAAGTTAAAATATTTTTAAATAATGAAAATAATAGTTGCTTTGTAATTTCTATATATATATATAAATATAAATTAATAATAATAAATTAAGCAATTTTTTAAGGTAATTTTTTTATGGAAAAATAAAATCCAGGCAAAAAGATTTTTTAATTGTTTTTAGTTAAGCGTTACACTAATTTTTGCCAATCTAGTAACTTTATATAAAAGGAATTTTGCATTAGCTTTTTTTTAAGATTGCAATTTAAATTAAAGTTTTCTAAAGATTAAATATTTTAACTTAGTGGTGTTATATTAAGTTTGCATTTTTTTTTTATATAACTCACATTGATTTATAATAATAAATTTAAATGGTTGGTATTGGCATGTCAACTGCTTCTTTTCAACGAAATGTTGTTGCTGCTGGGAATTTTTTGGAGCAAGGTCTTTGTCTTTATCTCCTGTAAATTCAACAATAGAAGATTTGATGAAGCTGTATATATATCTCAGTTATTTCCTGGAAATTAGCAATTACCCAACTGTAGTTTTTTCCAGTTGTAGAAGAAATCTTTAAATGATCAAGTCCGATAATACAACCAGAGGCTCGTGGGGAGAGAAAGTGTCAAAGGTAGAATGTAAAACTTATTATTTCTGTCAAGTTTTTTTAAGCTATTAAGTTCTAAGGTTATTAATATTAATTTCTTTAGATATAGATACCATCTATATAGAAATCAATAGTCTTAAAAAGATTAATATAATAATAAGGTTAAAAATAAAATTGCTTTTATTTTTAACCTTATTATTAAAAAAGATATACCTTTATTATAGTAAATGTTAAATTGTAATGAAGCACTTATATTTATATAATTTTGTATTTCACTTTTAAAGGTTGAATGAAAAATGTTGACCAGAAATTCAAATGGAATGCTCCCAATTAGTGAAACCGAACCAGTTATATTTTTTCTACCAATAAGTCAAAGCTCTGTGGACAATGATTTTTCTTTCCACAAGTCTAGGGAGCATTCAAGCTGAACAAGTTGCTTCAGGTATAATATAAAATAAAATGAGTGCAGACTGCATTTCAACAGGGACAACATTTACTTTATCAACTGGAAACCCGTTGGATGTAGCTATTGGATGTCCTTCTAACAAGGTAAATAGAAGATAAGTAAAACAAGTATCCTTACAAGTTATAAAGGACTTTCAAATGGTATTAGAACTTTCTAATAAAAAGACCAAACAATTAATTTCTACTCTTCGGATAGGAATAGGGAGTAAGACTGTTGTAGAAACTAACATTTTTGGCAAGTTAAACGATCCTTTGGAATCACATTTTTATCATGTAGAAAAGGTTATTTATATTTTAAATATATATTCATATTTATATATTTTTTATAGATATCTAGTAATATCTTGATCAAAAAATTGCTCTTTTATGATGTTATTTTTTCTAATATAAAATGATATGGTAAAAAAGAGAGATCCTTCACTATGAATAAAACATCCTTATCCTATAGTAAGATAGATCTTATATTAGATCAAGCTTTTTAGGCTTCTTATTTTGAATAATAATCTTCTTAGAGGTTGTAAAATATATTCCCTAATTTGCATAACAGGTTAACACCAGGAATTATTTATAAATATTATTAGTTATGGCTAAACATGTTTATTCATTACAAAATGTACGTATACAATGTATAACTATTAATATATTTACAGTATTATTTGTAAACTAGTGAAGCTAAGTTAAATGATATACAAATTAGATTTCAAATAATTTACATAAATATTTCGTGTTTTTCATTAATCTTTAAGTTTTCTATAAATGTGACAAAACAATGACACATCTATTTATACATCTTTACAGATATATTTCCTAGACAATGAGTAGGGAATTGTTGAAAAGGATCTTGTGTATGTTCAAGAGTCATCATCTTTCACAATGGATTTGATGAACCAACGTGGTTTAGACGTTCATTCTGCATTTGTACAAACTTCTATAGATAGTGGAGGACCCTTTTTGAAAATTATAATTAATGTTTTTGATGTAAATGAAAAAAAAAAGTCTTATGTAATGTACATGAATAGTAGTGCTAAAGATGTTCCTGAATTGAATCATAACATAAGAATTATATTAGAAAAACTCAAGTTACAAGATGTAAATTTTTTTGTTATTGCTAAAGATGTTCCTGAATTGAATCATAACATAAGAATTATATTAGAAAAACTCAAGTTACAAGATGTCAATTTTTTTGAAGCATTATATTTAAAGTGCGCTAATCCTGTGTTTGGTCTATCAGGTCATGAGGGAAAAAGAGCATGCCTGTGGTGTGAAGGTTTGAAAAATGAAGAATGTGGAAAGTTAAGAACTTATAGAAGTCTTGATTATTGGTATGAAAAATACAGTGTCGAAAATAAATCTAAAAAATCTAACATGCAAAAATATATGAATGTGATACATCCAAAGATTCTTTATCTAGAAAAGAGTCCAGATATTCTAATTCAGCATTTGGTACCACCTCCTGAATTACATCTTTTGATTGGGGTTGCTTCTACTTTAGAATGTCTACTTAGGGATATTTGGCCTGAATTTGATGACTGGCTGAAAACTAAAAGTGTTTATCAGAGAGGGTATCAAGGTAGAGGTTAGGGCGAAAATAATTCTAACAAGATCCTGAAAAACCTGGATGAACTTGATAAAGTAGTAGCATCTCAGGTTCCTCAACTGAGACCTATAATTCAGTGTTTGAAAGACCTTAAAATAGTAAAAGATGTTTTGGTCAACAGAGTATAAAATAGCATTTACTGTGTTCTTTCCTTTCTACCCAAGAGCTTGCACAGGCTCTAGGGAAAAAATGTTCTTTAAGCTGGAAGTTTCACATCTTGCTGTGTTATGTTCAGCCCTTTGTCGAACACCATAACTGTGGTCTAGCTAAGTTTGCTGAACAGTGTAGAGAGATTATTCGTTCTAAATTTAAACTCACCTGTAGTAAATATAAACATGCAGAAGACCATGCTCAACATGGAGAACAACTGTTATCCTCTGTAATAAATTTCAATGAAAGAAGACTTTAATTTATCTTTAAACTTTGACATGTTGCTTTCTAAAGTGCAGGAAAATGAATGTATATTTGGATTATGTAACAAATATAAATTAATATTGTAAATATTGATTTTTTTTATTTTAGTTTTTTAAATTGCTTAAAGTCTTTATTTGTAACAGGCATCTAAAATGTTTAAATGGACTTGGGGCCCCATTAATTTTACCTTTTAGCTTTATTTGTGAATCTTAGTCCTTCGTTTCAATTTTTAAACACTTGTGCCAATTTGTATAAGACAAATACCATAAATTAACAATTTTTTCTTACAATGGGCGTCTAAAATGCTTTAATGGGGGTAGGGCCCCTCAATTTTATTTTTTGTGCCCTTTGTGATCTTTAGGACTTTGTTCCTACTTTTATAGTTTAAAAACTTTATATTCTATTTTTATAAGACACATATTCTTAATTAATTTACATATTTTTTGTAATGGGCGTCTAAAATGATCAAATTGGCATCGGGATCCTCAATTTACATTTTTGCCCCATTTGTGAAGCAAAACTTAGCACTTTTTTCAGATTTTAAAAATGCTAGATTCTATTTTTATAAAGCAAATACTCTTAAATAAAAAAAAAATTGTTCAAGTGACACGACACCCTGGCGGTCTCTTTGGCCAACCATGGAATCTCTAATAAAGGATTTTAAAAAAACAATTTTTTTTTTAATTTAATTTCAATTTTGTTCATTACTATAATTTTCAAATTTTTTAGGTTTTTTAATAATAAAATTAAGTAACATATATATATAAAATATTTTCATTCATAAGTAAAATAACAAATAATAACACCAACCTTGTCACCAGTTACCTAAAAAAGAAAAATATACAGTCATTAAAGTAATATATTATAAAACTAAAAATACAAAGTTTCTTTTTTCCTAACATAAAACCAACATGTTTGCAATCATATTTACATATGTAATTGATAAGAATATATTTTTAATATGATGCCAATAAATTTTTTTAAAAAAACAGCACTTATAATTTAAACATATTACTTTAAAGCAAATAACGATATTTAAATTTGTTACATGTGACAAAATTATTTAATTTAAAAATATAATTATTAATTTAGAGTTTAACCATTAGCTTTTAGCAATTTAACTTTGCATCTGTAAATTGTATCATAGGTAAATTTCATTTTAGTTTTAAGTAATTATAACTGTTATAATTAATCTAAAAAGTCATAAAGAGATATAATTTATTGTTACAACTAAAGAAAATATTATAGTATGAAAAAAAAGTTTAAAGAAGATATTACAGTATAAAAAATATGTTACAGTATACGCATATAACTTTTTTTTTGACAAATTGGCCACCATTTTTTTAGCATATATTAAATAATTATCATTAATTTAAAATTAATTATTATAGAGAAAATAAAAACAATAAAGAAAAATATTTTTTTAATTTAAAAATTATATATGCAGCCCTCGAAATAAGGAAAATTCAGGTCTGCAATTTTTTGCCAACCATAAACTATTAGAGGTCAGCATCAGCTTAAACAAAAAAATTTGACACAAAGGTTTTACCATAAAACACTGAAACAAGGTCAGTAATAGTTTGCTAACCTCAAACACTTTTAGTCAACCCAATTCCCAGAGCTGCATATATGTATATAATTTTTGCTCTTATTACAAAGGATTTTGATATAATGGTATTATATCAGAATCCTTTGTAATAATGCCATATACTTTTTAGTATTTGCATTTACTCCCAACAAGGCTGCAAGCAACCACTATTAAGTTGGGAGTTACTAGGAAAAAAAAGAACAGAGTTATAGAACAAGGAAAAAGTTGACAGAAGACTTGAAAAGTTGAAGGTTGTATGAGTCAGGAAAACATGAAGATGAGAGAGTTCCAAAGGATTAAAGTGTGGGGAAAAAAACTAGATGAATAAAAGTTTTTAGAGCATGCAGGGACAGATACAGTAAACGAATGAGACTTAGCTGAATGACGAGTAAAACGAGAATGAATTTTAGTTGATGGAACTAGAGATGATAACTCCTTTGAGCAGTGACCATGATAGTATTTGTAGAAAAGAGAAAGAGATGCAACTTTACGACGATGGGAAAGAGGTTTAAGCTTAGCAGATAGTCCAGGTCCAACAACATTTACAATGCGTGTTTGGACCTTGTCAAGAAGAGAAAGTGAATCGTTAGAAGAACCAGCCCAAATATGACAACAGTATTCCATACAGGGACGAATAAGAGATTTGTAGAGGTAGAGAATGGAATCAGAAGTAAGGAAATGGCGAGCACGATAAGGAGAAGCAACCTTAGCAGAAGCTAATTTAGCAATCAATTGTATATATGGTTTCCATGAAAGGTCAGTAGTAAGCAATAAGACGTAGCGATAAGACGATAAGACGAAGAATCCGTAAAGAGGAGGACTCAGTAAGAGGATTGCCATTCATTAATATAGGAATGTTGACCGTATAACGGTAGTTGTTTGCAGTAAACAACTAGGTTTTGTTAGAGTTGAAATTCACAAGCCACTGTGAACCCCAATCTATTACTGAAGTGAGATCGGATTCAAGATCAGCTGCTTGTTCTAGGCGATCGAAAAGAGAAGACTCTTTGTCAAGACAGGAGTATAAAGTTGAGTTATCAGCAAAAAGAGCTACTTTAGATAAAAGGTTGTCAGGAAGATCGTTTATGTAGATAAGAAACAAAACAAGGCCCAGGATGGAACTTTGGGGAACCCCAGAAGTTACTGGAAATAAAGAAGAGTGTTGGCCTTCAAGGATGACTTTAATAAACTGGTTAGAAAGAAATGATTTGATTATCTCAAAAACTTTCCCAGAAACACCATATGAAGCAAGCTTATGGAGAATACCAGCATGCCAAACTTTGTCGAAAGCTTTAGATATGTCGAGAGCAATAGCCCTAGCCTCACCGCCTCCATCTAATGCACGATAAAATCTTTCAGTTACAGCAGTTAGCAAGTCGGTCGTAGAGCGAGAGGATCGAAAACCGTATTGATTGTCTGACAGTAGTTTATTTGACTCAAGATGAGATGTGAGGAATTTGTTGATCAAAGACTCAAAGACCTTGCTAAAAACAGAAAGAAGACTGATCAGACGATAATTGGAGGGGTCAGAATTTTCTCCAGAGTTTTTGAAGATTGGAACCACAGATGCCATTTTCCAACAAGCAGGAAAACAAAACTCAGTCAAACACTTATTAAATAGTTTAGAGAGAATTGAAGAAAGTTCTGGAGAACAATTCTGCAAGACTGTGACAGGAATGTTGTCTGGACCACAAGCTGTAGACGAGTTTAATTGAGATATGACTTTAGCAATAGAAGCCGGAGTGATTTGAATGTCTAACAATGGGTCAGCCTGTTTGACTGGAATGGAAGGAAGAGAATGTCCATAAAATTCAAGAGTGGAATTAGAAGAAAAGTTCTTTGCAAATAGTTCAGCCTTATCCTTGGGAGAGGTAATAAGATCAGTCCCATGAATGAGAGATGGAATGTTAGATCTACCCTTGTTAATAATGCTGTTGAAGATTTTCCAAAAGTCTTTAGAGCCTAACTTCTGTGATCAGATGCGAGATTTAGTGAAAAAGATTTAAAAAAATAATTACGATTGGAATGGCAGCCGCACAAGAAGGAGAAAATCATGGAGTAGAATGAGGCTTGACTTGAAACCGACGAGAAAGAATAAAAGCTTCCATTCCAGCCTGAATCCAGGAGGTTAGGTAGGAAGCGCATTTGTGTGGTAGTGGTGTAGTGGTAGAGCGCTCGCTTCATAAACGAGTGGTTCCGAGTTCGATCCCCACCACGTCCCTGGTAGTACCGTGCTCAACTCGTTTCTCCGCGCAGCGGCCTTGTTCGTCAAGGCTCGTGTTTCGGAGTTATAGAGTTGAGAGAGGGTTATAGCCACAAAATAAGTAGCCTCCTCGTCTGTAGTGGCCTTCTTGGCCTTGAGGAGGTGAAGTAAAATAAAAATGAAAAAAAAAAAATTTATCACCTGAGAGAGAAAAAAACATCAGCCCAAGGACCATCACGAAGAAAATCATGAGTCAGCTTTAGGGTAGTAGTAGGTGGTGCGATGATAAGGTGAGCCCAAAAAAGAAGTACGAGAAGAAAGATTTATAGAGATCATTGCATGGTCAAAACCACCTAAGGGAGAAAAGGGAGAAACTGAACATAAGCTAGAGTCAGAGACAAGACATATGTCAAGGAGTGAAGGTAAATGATTAGGGTTGTCAGGAAAACGAGTCACAAAATTAACTATCTGAGTAAAAGATTGAGAAACGCAGAAGTTAAAGGCTTTAGTGCCAGCAGGATCAGTGGTGTTAGAGCCAAGCCAATCAGTGTGATGGGCATTAAAATCACCAACAACAACAATATTGGCAGAGGGGTAAAGAGAGAGGGCATAGTCAATTTGTTCAGAAATAACATCTAAAAGAGTGCAATCATGGAAAGAAGGAGAACGATAAAGAACAAAGAGAAAGGTGATAGAGTGAAGAGGTGCTAGGCAAAAGCACATAAAAGAATGGTCAAAGGATTCGAACCTGATTTCATAACAAATAGGGAAATTAATGCGTATGTATACCCCTAAACCTAGCATGTGACTATTGGAGTCTTTACGAATCAAAGGATAGTACCCATCAACACTGACATCTGAAGAAGGAATTGCAGAATTTAAATTTGTTTCACTGAGTGCAAGCAAGTCTGGTTAATTTTGCAGGAGGTAAGACTCAACTGACGGAAAGTTGCTTCGCAGACCGCGAATATTTGTAAAAGATATATTAAAACATTTAGGTGGTGGGGATGGTTTTTTAGGTTTTAAATTTTTGATTACTTTGGTCATGATTTGGATTTAATGATAACTTGACTCATTCATAGATAGAGCACAGCCTCCTAATCAATAAGCTACGCAGTTGTCTCAGTCCTGTTAATTAACCCTAAGCCGTGACATAGGGCTCCTTATGTGGCCTTGACAATGCAAACCAAAAGCATTAACAGGGACACCACGTATGCGCAACATGGCACTGTTAATACTCTGATATTTTGCAGCTGTTGATGGAATCAGCCTCTCTGAGAGCTACCACAGAGTTTGGGAAACCTTACTACCAGCCAGCCTCAGAACCAATAAACTGAGTTTTAGAGCTGTACCCTCATATGGAGATAACAGGAAGAGTTGCATAGCCATTATCAAGGATGCATAAGCAAAATTCTATGATTAGAGTTAAGGAGATCTAGCATTCATCATCCTAAACAGGAAACAATGTAACACAGGTTACATCTACGCCAGGGATGTTTAGCTGGATGCAGTTAACATCTGCCCAAGATGAGTGTTTTTATCGAGACACTATCTCTAACCTTTACTCAACCAAGAGCCCCAAGGCAGGGGAATTTTTAGTCGGAGTTTATTTCTCCTAGCCTTTGCCTAAGAAGAGCACACTCTGCAAGGCAGCAGGGCTTATGGCAGGTGGTACTGGGTTATGTGATACCAGTAGCAAGATTGATCTTGATTATCCTGACCTGACCTGGATAAAATATCAGATCAAACAAAAAACACCCCAAAAAAATCATAAACGCAATATCATATGGTTCAACCCCCTTTTAACAAAAACGCCTTCACAAATGTTGTAAAATGTTTTTAAAACTGTAACTTTCCTGTAACTGTAAATTCTCCAGGACGAGGAGGGGGGGGGGGGGGATACTACTGCCCAAATTTTTTTCCTAGAATAGAACCTGTAGGCTAACTAATAAATTACTCACATACACACATTATTTATATTTTTATATTAATTTTTAATTTTATATATTTTTTTAACATATAAATGAACATTAT